AAATCAATAAAAAATGTTAAAAAAAATTACTCTATTCCTAACACTAGTGAAATATCCAGGGACCTGAAACCTCCTGAGTTCCCCATATTTTCAGCACCCTAGTCCTCTGAAGAGACCGCTATCTTAAGCACAGAAAAGCCTCACCTGAACGAGGACCCACCGCCACGCCCGGCACAGTCCCACCACCCGGAAGCCCCCCGAGCCACCGCCACGCCCGGGCACGGTCCCACCACCCGGCAGCCCCCTGAGCCAGTCACAGGAAGAAAGACCCAGCACCCCGGGTCCTGGCTCCAGCTCCATCATCCGCCACGGGAAGCTGCCCACCTCCTACCAGTGGGAAGCCAAATACACACAAAAATTCACTGGACATCTATTTGCCATGACTTTTCTAAGAGTTTACTCCTGTGACTACTTTACTCCAGTAAATATTTGAGGCTACCAAAGCATTTCCTCAATTGGTGAATTTTTACACCTCTGAAATAGAAATTAGAAATAAAGTACATTAAATTGTAAATGTTAAGAGCATGAACCCCACAGTCAGGCTGCTATTTGGTAAATTAAAAATGAACGAATACTTGTTTTAATTAAACTGTATCTGGCTGGACAGTGCACACTGGGAGTGCTAATCTGGGAGAGCTGAGAGAACAAATTTAACGTACTATTGTTTTTTTTGCACAGAACTGCAGACAACACATTTAATCGAATTCTCTGATTCTACATTTAACATAATAGAATTTTACAATCAAGTCAACATCCACATACCTATAACTCACACATGTTTTAATGTTTCATAAGTATCTAAGAACCATTTAATTTAAAAACGTTGAGTGGGCAGAAGAAAGCCAAAATATGAAGCTTAAATGCTTCCAACTAACATGTAAACTCTAGTCATTTACATACCAAGGCGACAGAATAAGGTTAACATCATAAACATTACTAACCATCACAGTGTGTACATTAAAATCTAGACAAATTTAACTTCTATATTTTCTCATAAATTAATTTTTGCACTTAAAACAAATAAATAAAAATTAAAATCTTTTAGCCCAAAAATGTCAAGGTACGATAGCAAGTAAAGGAACTGAACCAGGCAGACACATGCCGGAGGTCCGCCTTAGCCACCAACTTGCCACGTTAGAGCCAGGACAGTTTGAGGTGAGGTTTTGAGCACACACACACATAGCCAGAGAAGGAGGAGGAGGTGGGGGGCGGGGGGAAAACAGCAGGTGAGACTCCCCAGCCCAGGAGAAGCAGGAGCAACCCAGCGGCACACGTCACTCTTCAGCACAGGGGTGGCGTGAGGCAGAGCAGAAACAAATGGAAAGACTTCTGTGAAACTCAACTGCGACCAATGGACACCAGCTGTCTGCCTAAAACTTTCCTAAAATACAGGAGCAAGTGAGCGGCACTGGGGACGACTCCAGAAAGATGGTAGAGATGACTTAAAAAAAAAAAGAAGCACAAATGATTCTCACTTTAAACTTTAAACCTGAATATAGAATTTATCTGAGAAGGAAAGAGTGAAATGTGATCTTTACACTAGGAAACTCTCCCCTGATGTAAGTCTGTGTAACAGATATTTATCTGCCAAAAGACAGGACACTTACCTCCCTTTTCTTAGCTTCATTTGTGCTGTACTTCGGAAAGAGGTAGGAAAAGATATTTCCGCAGCAACAGGCAACGTGCACCAGGGGTCCTTCTTTTCCTAAACTCAAACCCGAGGCCACAGCTAGTACTAACGTGATGGTTTTAATCATTAAAGTCCATTTTCCCAAGTAACCTCTGATGATGAATCCACTCAGAATAGTTTTAATCTACAAAGGAAAGATCAAGACAGCTTAATTTCCTTTAAGAAACATAAGAACTTAAATTACTCTCGTCTTATTCATCTTGCAAATTCTGGCGCAGATGGAACAACTCATAATGCATTTTTCAAAACCTTGAACAACTACACTATATAGAACAAGTCTGCATGGTACTCGAATCCTCTCTCCAAGCAAGGAGAGAGGGCAACCCTATCTCATGAACAAAACTGCAACGCCAGGCCACGTTAAGGGGATACGGGCTTTAACACAAGTGGCATATTCACAGAACCAACAAAAGGTAAATCTGAGTATTTCTGTTGCAGAAACGTAATATAGTTCGATACATTTTGGACATTCTGTATCAGAAACAAAGATATTATGCCTTCTCAGAATACTGTAATTATGTGTAATATTTTCCTGTATCAAGGACGAGTGACAACTGCTAAATACTCCATGATATTGCTCCTTATTAAAGATAAACTTAAAAAAAAGATAGTCTTACTATAGCCTTAAAAATCACTAAAATTGTTTTTAACAGAAATGCACTAGAAACAGCTAGCAACTTGTTTAAGACAGAAAAATTTTAAAAAAATAAGAAATGAATTCACATTATATTCAATCCTAAGCGCATTCTTAGGTTACTGTTGATAAAAGACAAAATCCAAAAGTTCGTACTACTGACCACTATGATCATTTATTTTAAAGTATAAAACAGTTATAAATACTGTCTGCCAATTTCAAGGATTATTAACTTATCTAATTAAAACATAATTACAAAAAGAGGATGAATGTATTCAAATTCAGTTCCTAAGAGCAAAACATCAATGCATTCATCAAAGAACTTTAGGCTGCAAGGTATTTTGCAGGTTCTTGGTGTTTAACTGAGTCTCTTGGGATATTTGTTTACTCATGTGTTCAATTAGTGGTGAGAAAGAAAAAGTCAACCTCCACAGAAAACGATGAAATGACCATGGGGAAGAATTTCTTTCAACAATGTCTATCATCAGCTTACATTTTAAAAATTTTCTTTTTCATATTCCAAACAAATCACTCCCCTAGAAAAGCCACTGCCTTTGCCCCCACAGGCAAGAAGGTAAGCATCACAACTACTCAGTGTTAATGATACTGAACACTGCACGGCTTACCTCTGGAATCCCAGAGCCACAGGCATACGGAGCAAACACTTTTACCAGGGAGACGGCGAGGAAGGCGAAACTCAAGGCCCAGAAAATGTACATTATGTAGTTCATGATGTACGAACCAGGACCCTGAAAAGCAGCAGGATGAACTCATGAACCAGCACCGCTCACACAAGCGCCTGCCACCTGAGCGGCTCGGGTAAAGCCTGTGGAAGGCTCCTGGTCACGTCCACGATAATGAAAGCTTTATTTGAACAAAATATTTAAGTAGAATCCAAAAACATATTTGTAATGATACCAAGGAGACAATCTATTTAATATTTCTCGTAGCTTTTTTTCTGATCCCTAAAGCCTTGTTGCCAAGAATCTCACCTCACTTCATTGCCTTCCCACCCACAAACCACTTTCCGGAAACCATCAGTAAAAACAAAACTGCTGTCACATGCAGACTTCACGTTGCTGCAGTTCTGCTGAGGATGGAGTGAGAAATAGCAACTGCCCATCTCACCAGCAGGTACATTCTTTTTGGCTCTGAAGTTGAGCTACAATAAAATTTTTAAAGCATGTCCATATCAGATCATGTAACTATACATATATATTATATAATATTCTAACCTCTAAACTGTTCTTCCCTACGGAACATCAACAATGGCTAGACAATCATCTCAATCCTGCAATGCCATGAGGAGAAACCTAGGGGTTTCTGCTAGGCATCTCCAGTCAGGAGGCTACATTACCTAAACTTCTGGTAATTCATACTTTCCGAACAACCGTGATGGAATACGTGACCCAGCTGCAATGCACTGACTCCACGTGGACTTTCTGTGAGTGCACGGACCCTCCCGCACGTCTTTTCCACAACAGGAAACACACCTTATGCCGTAACCCAACAGACCCGCGAGCGTACAGTCAGCTAACACAGGCGCTTCTGGGAGCACATGCACGTATTTCACTTGCTGCCCTGTACTCGCACATTCTCCGCTCTACCCCAGTACGTCTTCCTTTTTACCCTTTACTGCTGCTGCAGGCATCTCACACGTGATGAACTCTGTAACTGCGTGCACTGGGGACTCACTTCACCGTGTCGACAACTGATGCACCTGGAGACAGAGCGCGCCTCACCTCCGCCTGACCGATGATCAGCTCAGCCCATGTCGTCCACTGGGGACACTTGTCCCTCTCCTCGAATGTTGTCTCGTTGGACCCCCAGCAGCACTGCTCGTGGTTGTACCACAGAGCACTGAGGCACACGCCCTCCTTGAGGTCGGTCATCCAGTCAGCAGCGATGTCTATCAGCCCAGCCAGCGCCCCTGAGGAGAGAGGGCGGACGGAGGGGTCAGGCCTTTTCCAGGGAGTCAAGAACGACCAGGTTAAAGGGGTCCAGGAAAGCTGGGGACCCCCTATGGATAAAGGGCCATGACGGGAATTCTACACAAATTTAAGAATTCCTAATCTTTGTTATAAATAAGTTTATATCACTTTGTTAAAACTGTAAATAACTCATCTTTAAAACAGTTATTTTTTGTTTGAAGTTAAAACTAGTTACAGCATTTAAATTCATGGTGATTTTTAAAAGGTGTCTGAAAGATACTGAAACATCTTCCAGAGACAGCCACCTGGCAGGAAGGTCTCAATTCCAGCTGTGAAGTCAGAGTTTTTACTAGTGTGTTTCAGTCCGAAACCCAATTCACAGATTGACAGATGATCTCAGTCTCATTAAAACGTAACGTCCATTAGAAATAGCTCGTGGATCTCACAGCAGCAATGACTTACTGTGACAGATGATCAGTTCTCTTCCTCTAACAGAAAACTAAATATACCAAGATCATCTTACGAGCAATACAAGAATACACAGATCTGTGGTCAAAATCTAGGTCCTGGTCATGTGAAAAGATCAGTGGGTCAGACAGACGGTGGCCAACGTCTACTCGCCGCACAGGTTTCACTTCCCTCGAGTTCTGCACGTCATTTCCCCTGGTGGAGCTGAAGGTCATGAACACCGTCAAAGCTTCAAGTGTGTTTTCAGAACTTCACCTGCCATCACGTCCCCCACAGAAAGCCTTGGCAGGCGCCCTGCAGCTCGGAGGTCAGAGCATGGGCCCCTCCAGCCCCATGCCCTCAGTCTGGTCATGCACCCTCTCCGTGCTCAGCCCCTCGCTGCCAGACTGAGCCCAGGGCATGGCCACGAGGTTTACACGCACAGAGAGCACTGCGTGAGGCCCGGGAAGCACCCAGCATGTTCTAGCTATTTGTTATGGTGTTCACACTGAATGTACTTTACTGCTGATCATCTGGCCCAAACCACCTATTTTACAGGTAAAGAAACTGAGCGAGAAAGAGCAACCGAACCAGCCAGACACGTAAGGGACGCGGCCGAGAATACAACTCAGAGCCTCCTGCCTCTCAGGCTTATGTTTAAGAGGATGCGTTGAAGAAACAAAACAAACGCTTTTAAAAATCCAAAGTACTTGAAAAAGCTGCAGTTAGGAAGGGAGGACTATTTACTGTCCTGTTAAACAAAAAAGGATTGCATTAAGAATTCCCTTTACCTGATGCCAGTCCTGTTAGTGTCACCACGAGCCACCCTGACCACGCGTCACACAAGCTCTTCGTCATCTCCCATGCTGACTCTTTCTTCTTGCTGTTGATCTGAAATTCGAAATGTTCATGTTTCATTTTTCAAAGTATGAATAGAAGCCACAATTCTAGAATCTAACAATTGCCTCAGTTACTACACATTGAACAGCACTTTCTAAAGTAGGTAACAGGACAGGCAAGTCTGGAGCAGAATCAGTGTCAAACAGCTGCCACACCTGCAAACCAGATGACAAGCACCCACCCAGAGACCTGCATCTGTAACAAGAACCTAAGAACTCGAGAGCAAGGGGTCCACAAACCACATCAAGTCCCCTGGTAGGAAGAGCTGAGTCCAGGTGTGGTCCAGGAACCAGGCAGGTTGAGTCTTCCCCAGCATGTATCAAAGGGCCCAGCACCAACCCAAACAAGCTTCCCACCCCCAGTCAAAGCTGAAATATGGTGGACATCACAAAAGATAAGCTGCGCTGGTCACACCACCTCAAATATGTTTAAGTCCACGAGCGTGTGAAGACGCAGAAACAAGACCCTCCCAGGCCCACCTGGTGGCTGCTTGGGAGCCACGTGGTTTCACCTCCTCCCTCCTTCCTGTACAATTCAAACCTGAGGGAATCCCACTAACGGGTGAGGGGAAGGCTCTCTTACAGAAATAGTCAAGCTAGTAAATAAAACAGGAATGAGAATTAGATTACCACCACTGCTCAAGATGCTGAAATAAATATCTGAAATGATACGATGTTGATCTGCCTCAAAGTAACCCAGGGTAGGAGGGCTACAGGATAGGCAGGAACAAGCAATGAGGAAGTATTTTTCTTTTAATTTGACGTTTTAAGAACAGTAAGAACAGCTCCGTGTAGAACTTCCCAGCTTCCAAACAGTTTAGGCTTATACAAGCACACACTAAAGTGCTGAAAATGGTATCTGACTTCCCTAGAGAGAGAGGGGACGGATGTGAAGAGCTGGGACACTCACTGACTGCTTCACGTATGGTGATGTTACTTGCAGCGTTTTCAGGGGCCGTGGACTACTTACATAATCAGAGAAAAAAGGGACGTGCTGTGGTTTCTTTTAGTTTCAATTTTCACTAAAATTTTCTGAACACGGTGTCTTATGGACCCTCTCACACCCTCACTTCAGAACACAGTCAGATCCTCCCTGATGTGTCCGTGACTCTCAGGTTTCATCCTCCCAAGTACAACTGTGCTCACCTACCAATCACACAAGACACGGGGCGTGCAGTGTCTGATTTAGGCATGCTGGGCTGACAGTGGCTCCCGTGGCTACAAAATCATCCACCAAAGTTCAAGGGATTTAATGTAACAGGAGACAAAAAGTTCACTGATTCAGTCTCACATCACACACTGCAACTAACCTTTAAGAAACTACCATCTCTCAGTGCAATGCAGAGTCAGACAAGAATATCCACAAAGATCTAAAAAGGTTATTAAAACACTCTTGGCTTTTCTAACCACACGCTGTGTGAGGTTGGATTCTCTTCATAGACGAGAACCCAGCAGTTTTAAGTAAACCAGGCGATAATGAATGAGATTATAAAAATGTAACACAATGTTATTCCCTCACTAAATATTTTATATTTTGGAAAATGTAGTTATTTTCATAAAACTTCTTTGTAATTTTAATTTCTTTATATATCGTTATTGGGGGGGATTAGGTTTATGATTTATTTATCTTTAATGGTGATACGGAGAACTGAACCCAGGACTTGTGCATGCTAAGCACAATCTGCCTCGGAGCTGTACCCTGCCCCTCATAAAAATGTTTTTTATGCTAACACGTAATGGGTTTGTCAGTTGTTTTTTAACTGAATTAATATATTTTACATTTCTCAGCTTTAGTATCTAATATGGTAAATACCTATTAACACAACCACACAGACAAAAGCTCAGGGACCCTCAATAACCATCTGGAGTTTAAAGAGGACCTGAGATGCGGTCTGAGAACTGCTGGTCAGAGCACTGAGTGCATGTACTGCGTCTTGTTTTCAGTCATACCCGTTTAAAACGTTTCCAGAAAAGGTAAATGTTGACTGCTGAGTCTCAGAAGCAGTCCTTCCATAAACAATATGACCTAATTCCAATTTCAGGCTTCACACACGTGTGCACTACTGTGAAAGGTTACGGCTAATCTGCACAGGTAGTTATTTACAAGTAAACTGCAGAGCTTAACTCTGTAAATAGCCTTTTGGAATTTGGGATTTTATTTTCAAGAGTGTTTTTTCCTCTTTCAAAATGTGTTTTTGGATCAGTAAGCCATCATCAACAACAGAAAGAACACTAGGCTGTGGTTTTCCGTGAAAGACGCTCTTTTTTTGATTAGTGATTCATTACAACATTCAGCAGGCCCTACACAGGACTCAATTTGAGACATACTCAGAATTTAAAACCACAGAAGCAGGTAAGAGGAGGCAAACCCCACGCCCCGTAAGCCTCCTCCTCTAAGAGCTGGAAGCACAGCCCAGCTGCCGCGCTGCTCCAAGCCAAGCAGCACGCCGACCTCCACGTCGGACTTGGCCTGATCCTCCCCCAGATCACGTGCCGCGGTTTCCCTCCCTTCCTATATTGTCTCACGACACTTCGATTTTCAGCTACTCAAATCCTTTCCAGAAAGACAGGGGATATAAAAAAAACTTTAAAAAATTACACAGAGAAAAAAAAGTATTACTTAATAAAACACAGAAATTTGCTTATATCTACTTATAATATGTAACATATTATGGCAAGCTGAGATCACTGGCAGAAAGTCACTATCAAACAGTCTAACTATGCACTGCTACTTTAAACACTCCTAGAAACACTCACCCGTCTGTGCCTCTCTCTGTCCTTACACTTCTCGCGCACCCAGTCGATGGTGTGGAAGTCATCGTACGTGCCGACGCCCGGGATCGGCTCATCCAGGAGGTCCAGCAAGTGTGTGGAGCTGCTGATGCTGCCTCCGTTGGTCATGGTGTAATGAGTCCCTATGGAGCAAAACAGGAACAAGGAGCCTGTTTTATGAGGGACAATGGTGAACTATGCGACCTTCTTAGCAGCTCATTAGTGATTCATAAAGAAACAGTATCACTTGAAATAACTGCAATAAAACAGAGGACGGAAAGCATTAAGAAAATGGAAATAAAGCAGAAAGACTCCGGCGTGTCCTTTCAAACTCTTGCTGGAGAATCAAACACGCCTGCCTAACAGTCACCGTACGCTCTGGGGAAGGGAAGTCTGCAGAACTTACTGTTTACTGTGGATTACAGCACGGACTCTGCAAAGTTAGTTAGATAATGACTTATAGGAGACTGGTAAATCGAAAGTTATGACTGTCATCTAGTAAGAATGTACATGAATTCTGTCTAGTAGAAAAGAGAATCCCCAGCTGCAGTGCTGGTCCTGCTGCTTGACTGCGATCTGTAACAAAGTCCATCCCTCCACGCACTACCTGCGTCCGGGAGCCTCGCACATCCTCCTCTGAATCAGCTCCTCATCCAGCTGGACCCTCACCAGAATTACAGAAATCTTTGACAAGTGTCCACCCTATACCTTATAAGTGTAACAGACTTGAAGGTGCAAGGAAGGAGACTGAAAGACAATTCACAATAAAGAAACGAAAATGGCTCAAACTTGAAAACAAGTTCAATCTAACATAAAAAAAATGAAACAGAGAGAGGGGAAGATACAGTCAGTGGTAGAGTGCGTGCCTAGCACGCACAAGGTCCTGGGTTCAATCCCCGGTACCTTCATTAAAAAACAAACCAACCTAATTATTATCTCCCCCAAAATAATATAAAAAGTAGAGGTGCATTTAAAAAAAGAAGAAACACAGATCAAACCTACAATATCATTTTCTTCCATCAGATTAGTAAAGATAACAGCTGGCTAACGCGCTGCGTTGGCAAAGCTACGCGGTAAAGGGGTCCTGCCACAAAAATCACTAGTTCCAGTATAAAATGGTGTAACCTCTTTGGGAAGGCAAAGCTACACAGATGCTCTCCAGCCCAGCAAGCACGCCTCCAGGACTTCCCTGCACTTAAACCTGTATAAATCCATAAACCACGCACAGGGGGCAGACACCTTCCCAGTGCTCTAGAGAGCAGGCGCAGTGAAGGCCAACGTGCTCATGATCTGAGGGAGGGGTCGGCAGAGGAGCAGGGCGTAAGCTTGCTGGGCTCTCGGCGCCAGGCAGCAGTGACAACTCAGTTCTGCCTCCGAAGCACCAAAGGAGCCACAGACAGCACATAATGAGCAGGTTCGCCCGTGGAACATCACGTTCTACCTGTGGAACAGGTGAGAGCAAGGTGTGGCTCGGCCCTGACCTGCAGCCTCGACAGCACAAGCCAAAGCCAACTGAAGACATTCATCAGGAACTTTCTATGTGAGTGGCACCTTCTAGACAGTGCAGGAGATACAAATGTAATAAAAGTATCATCCTCGAGTTTAAGATGCAAGTCGGGGATTCCCAATCCAAAATATATTTTAAAACCAAGTTCTAATATCAAAGCACTATAAAACCAATTTTAGTTGTGTTACCTATTTTTAATTTGTTACAAGGAAATCTTGAGACTACAGTATCTATAACTAGGTGGGGTTAGTCTAAGAAAACTTCTTTAAGAATATAAATTTTAAATTGTAATTTAAAGCAATTATGCTATGGTTTCACAATGAGAATTACAGCTAGATATTTGATGTTAGACATGTTTATACCTATTTCTGAAAAAAGAAACATGTATATGATGTGAATACTGACTGTGAAAGACAGTTTATATTACACAATTAGGAAAGAGTTTGAAGGACAAAAACCAGGCTAGTTAAGAAACATTTACCCTAACCCAGGAGTGAAAATGATCAAACTCAAGTGTTTCACTGCCAGTGGAAGTAAAGACTGATGCACCCATATGGAAGGACAATTTAGACATATCTATCAAAATGTAAAGTTTCCACTTACAGGAATCAATTCTACAAGTGCACAAAGACTTATAAAGGTTTCACTGAAACATTATTTGTATACTGCAAAAGTTAAACCAACAGAAATGTGTCATTCATTGGTAATTAATGAATGATGGACATCTGTGCAGTGGAATACAATGCCGCAGTTAAAAAGGACGTAGATCAACACATGATCCAGCAATCCCACCCCTGGGCATAGTTCTGAAGAAAACCCCAATTGGAAAGACACCTGCACCCCAATGTTCAGAACAGCACTGTTCACAACAGCCAAGACATGGAAGCAACCTAAGTGTCCACTGACAGATGACTGGATAAAGACGACGTGGTATATGTATACACAATGGAATATTACTCAGCCATAAAAAAGAATGAAATAATGCCATCTGCAGCAACATGGATGGACCGAGAGGTTATCACACTAAGTGAAGTAAGTCAGACAGAGAAAGACAGATATCATATGATATCACTTACATGTGGAATCTAAAAAAATGACACAAGTGAACTTATTTACAAAATAGAAACAGACTGCTACCAACTGCCCAGATTCTCATCCTACCCGGCTAAGTAACTCTGGACAAAGTCCTCTTTAAATATTGGGCATCTATAAGATACATGTCATACCTTATAATAAAGACATCTGTATAAGCAAAGAA